TTGATGAAGTCCCCGTAAGTAGCAGCAGGCTGCTGTTAGGTCTCCCAGGATTCCCAGCAGTCTCCCATCCAACCTGCTTAGTTTCAGACCCTGCAGAGCTTCAGAGATCAGATGACCTTGGGTGTGTTGAGGGTGGTGTGACCGTAGGCAGCTGTCAGGTGGTGCTGCTGCTATGTCCTGTCTGGAGGTGTTTCACTGTTCACTTGCTGAAAATGGGCCATATAGCCCTGCTCTGTTTAACACGGTTTAACCTAAGTAATTTCCAGTCTGGTACAACTTCTCACCTTATGACAATTGAGCTTCTCTAGCAGCCTTTGTAAAGGTTTTATCAAAGGATTTTTGAAAGTCAACACTAATTACATATACCAATGTTCCTTACTGCTAATTTGACACACTTCAGGAATTCTAATAGAGCAGATCAGAGACATGACTTTCCCTTTGCAGAAGCCATGCTGCTTTGTCATGGTGATAATTTGCTTGGTTAAGCGTTCAGTAACTCTGCCATGATCTAGATTTACCTTTTCATGTAATTAACCCAGTTCTGAAGCAAGACTGTCTGGTCTGTAATGATAAGGTTTTCTCTTCCCTGATGCTTCCCTTTAAGAACAGATACTGCATGGCCTGCCTTCTAGTCTTGCCAGTTTGGAGCTGGTTTTCGTGATAGGTAATGCAATTCTGGTAGCAGCTCAGCCAGTTTATTCATAGGTTCATGGAGAGTCCTGGGTGAGTGCCAGCCCATTGGATGACTTAGTGCAAACGCAGGGGATCTGGATGTTCCACAAGTTTGACTTTTTTGGTCTCTTGAAGCTTAGCCCGCCTCGTCTTTGCTAGCCATGCAGAAGAGCGCTGTGGGATCTCCTGCCAGTCTCTGTGGAAGTACTGTGTAAGGAAAGTTCCACTTTGCTTCGCTGCAGTTGATGGCCTTTATTGGTTTTTTTCTTGTGTGTGTGTGTGTGTGTGTGTGTGTGTGTGTGTGTGTGAGGTTTGAATGGTGCTTTCCCTGCCCACAATAGTTCTAGCCAGTTTCTGGAAACTTTTGTTTCAAAGAGACTTTTTCTGCCAGTGTGCTGACCTATATGCAAACAAATGCGCAGCATGTTCTTTTGAGCTGGAGAAAGGCGTGCTAAGTCATTCAGTCTTCAGTTTGAAAGAAGTAGCAAGTGCGTTACAATCATTTCTATGAAGACGGTTCTGCAAGCTCAGCGTAATACTGAGTGAGTTCAGCAAAAAATTATGCATTTTGAATTAACCTTGTATAAGAGAATTCCACCCTTACTTGCCTCAGAGTTCAGAGTACCTGTTCGCTGCTTTTCTTTTCTGGGGAAAGAATAGAACCTAAAAGGTGGAATTTCGGTTGCTTTCTTGCTACTACATGCCAAAGCCCTAAGGTGACCTCTCTGCCCTCTCAACCCTCTCTCCGTGAAAATGAACAATGTATTTCCGAGTGCAGGGTTTGCTCTCGTCCTGCAGCCCTCTTGGATAGGAAACACCTCATGCCTGGAGGTCGCTCAGTCTACTGCAAATCGTGGGGAAGGGAAGACAGTAAATCACTTCTGTTGACACATTAGAAGCTGATAAATAGGTGGTCGTGAGCCATAGCCCAGCGCCCGGCTTCCCTGTGCGCAATTCGGTGCTCCATGTGCTTCCGGAGGTGGCCAAGTGCACAGCAAGGGGAAGTTTGTGCCTGACTGAGATTGCAGCCACAGGCCAAGGCATCCCCGCAGGGTGCCAGGAGCCCTGGTTGTTGGAGGCGCTCACAAAGTCGCAACTGTAATTAAAGACTGCCAGAGTCTTAGAGATGCCTTAGCAATCGGAGCAGTGGAATTGAGGTCCTTCTCAGGAGCATGTGGCTAGTGACCCACCAGAGCAGGAGGATGCAGTTACAGAGCCAGCATCTCAGGACTGGATCGATCGCATTTCCCAGCATCGAAAGCAGGCTCACTCACCAGTGGGAAAATACACTGTGGTATTTTCAGCCCTTACACGGCATACAACTAATTCTAAAAAATGCTCCTAATGAGAGCTGGAGTTAAAACGTAAGAAGTTAATAATTAGTAACCAAATTCAGTGTTTGGTTTACACAAATGGCACTATTACTGTAAAAAAAGGAGTGTGATTTCAGGCAAAGGCTATTTTTTATTAAAAAAAAAAGATATAAATGATTTTCTGTTCATTACCTGCCAGGTTTCGGGTTTCTTGGATGTTTCGTCATCGTCTCAGACATTACAGGCATAAGACGTGCCTGGAAAAAAAAAATTTGAAAAGCTTTCCCCATTGCATTGTCATTTGCAACTCTCAGATTTTCCCACTAGATTGTTCTTGTAAACTCTTGCATTTCACAGCACGCAAGAGTGACCACTTAGAACCTCACTGTAACGTTATCGTTAGCATCAGGGTTCAGTTATTCAGAAAACTATGAGTGGGATGAGCTAAGTATCATTTTCTCTTTTACCTTACCGTAGTGCTAATAAAATGATTGCTGTCAATTCTTCTCATCAGTCTCGCTTCATGAGAAAGAAAAGAGTCGTCAGTGAATTTTCTTGTGCTTAAGAAAGCCAACCTGTAACATTTAAAAAAAAACATCTCCAAATGTCTCCCTCCCCTACTGTGTACAGATAGATTTATATCTTTTCCATAGATATGAAGCCAGTGAAGGGATAGTGGATGTTGGGTTGCTCTTTTTAATGTAGGCGTTTCAGCTGTGTACTCAGAAACATAGCATGAGTCAGCAGTAAATACTGAAAATATCAGTAAAAGAGAAGTCGTAAGCATTCCATTAAGAACTGTAATGTTGGCAAAAATGCCTATTTTGTAAAAAGAGTCATCGTAGCGTCTGGCTTTTAAATACTCCTGTAAAACTAGAGAAATTGGAGGGGCTTTTTTAGAAATGGCAAGCAGCAAGCAGGTCCTCTTAAGTCCATTCTTAGCTAGACTACTAGTATCTTTTGAATTACAGCTTCAGGAAAATGGTATCCTGGTTTGCATGTGTATGGCAAGAGAAGTAGTTTGAAGTCATTTTATAGGTACTTGTGTACTCGTATATTCTAAAATAAAAGGAAAATGCTTAAAGATCCACTTTAACAAAGGAATAAAGGAGAAATTCTGCTTCTCCTTTTTACAGTAGTCAGATATTTGCAGTGCAGCAGTATTACGCTGGAATACACTGGTTTGCAAGCCTTAGCGCTGTATCTTCTGAATCTCATCTCACAGAGTGCTGCTATTGTTTGTGATCAGGAAAATAAGTAATTCCTTAAAATACCCGAAGTTTGCATGTGTACACGACTTCCCTTTCGACACCAGGTCTCAGAAGACTGGCAACTCGTAGTCAGAAGTGGCAGCATTCGGATTAAGTCTAAGTATACATAAGGAGCTCACAGGTGAGAAAGCTGAGCACATGAGGACTGGTTTTGTCGTTTCTTTGTCTTAGACAGTTGGGTTTTTTTTTAAACTAAGATCTAATTTTCTAGTCTGTGACTGAACAGTTGACTTGCATGTTTTTGCCAGCTTAGTCATCAGTTTGTTTTGCTTCAGCCTGAAAAACTTTAGTTCTTCTTTTTGCGTGTGCACATCTTTTATATGCATTTATGCAGTCATATGGGGAAAATAAAAATGATAGTCTTTTGCTAGAATAATACATACAAATAAAATAATCCTTTTTGCCATGTAAGCCTTAAAACAAGTATATTTAGTTTGTTTTGGGGTACGCAGTGCGTTCAGATACAGCACAGGATTTAACACTTTCCTAGTCAGAGGGAATTAAAATGGGAAGACGAAGCAAACAGGATTCAGTTAGGTGCTCAGTAGAAAGTCTGAGGTACAAGAGAAATGGTTTCAGTGTGCCTAAGGGTAAGAGACAAATCACCTCAGTGTGTCCCAAGTATGCAGGGGTTTCATGTAGTATGGGGTACTCAGGGAAGTTGACACCCCACCACCACCACCACCACCACCACCACCACCACCACCACAAGTCTAATCCCCATGTTCAAAGGTGTAGACAGTTCTATATGTGTCAGAAATTGCAGAACAGCAGGCTGGGAACTTCCTAATTCAGAAACTTGTAATGAATATTTTAGAAATGTCTGGTCTGTTGTCAGTACACAGAGACTTACGACTTATCTCGAGGCAGGAGCAAACCCCAGCACCCACATGCTGCCCTGCCGCCTTTAGCTGGAGTTCCATGTAGGTCAGGGGATTTCTTGTGTGTATGAATTTGGAATTCAGAAAGTGCCCTTTTCTGTAAATGCCATTAAACCACCAGTGAATGTGCGTTGCCTTGGCCATACCTGGAAATGAATTTTTTCTAAAGCCACCAAAAAACTTGCTCTCCCCCATAAGGTTTAAAATGTCTTTAATTCCTCTTGAGAAATTAGGTCATTGCAGTTACTGACTTGTCTTCATCGAGTTCAGATCCACCTTCATTCTCACTTGAGCAGACGTCTTCAGGATAAGCACAGAGCGCTGTCCACTTGAATGTAGGCTGGGTTTTCGAGGGTTTTTCCCCTTAACGTGGAAATGAAAGAAGCAAGGACAAAACTCTTAGAAGACCCAAGTGTCACTCTTGCTTTTTTTTTTTTTTTTTTTGTTATAATCTTCTAAAATTTCCCGTGTAATTTTATTGCAACTGCTAAATCGAGAATTGTAGATGCGCAGTAGTTTGTCGAAGGGTTTTGACAAAAAGCACTTTGCATTCCAGCCTCAACTCTATTTTCACTTTTACGAGGGGAGGGATTGGAGGGAGGCCGGGGGGAGGGAAAGACCTGCTAATCGGAGTGTGGCGAACTGCAGACCGGTGACACAAATGCCCTTCCAGATCTCTTCCCTGAGCAACTCGTTCTGACTAAGAATTAACGTGCTGCTCAGCAGTTCTGCCGCCGCAATCGTGCCGGACCCAGAGAAGATGACGTAACCTCCCCGCTGCGCTCGGAGAGCGCTAACCGCGGGTGCCCGCCTTCTGCATTTCTCCTTATTGCCTGTTTGCCTGTTTGTTTTTTCTGTTTTAGGGTGTGAACGGAATGTCTGTGGATGAGAAGACTGAATCCCCCATGTATGTGTATGAGTCAACAGTGCATTGTACCAATATTCTCCTGTGCTTAAATGACCAGCGGAAGCAGGATATTCTCTGTGATGTGACTCTGATCGTGGAGGGGAAGGAGTTCCGCGCCCACCGGGCTGTGCTGGCCGCGTGCAGCGAATACTTCTTGCAGGCGTTGGTAGGGCAGACGGAAAATGACCTGGTTGTCAGCCTGCCAGAAGAGGTACAGTATGTCATCGTTTCTCAGCCCTAAAACACCGTCCTCTCTTCGGCCCCGCTGCTGCTGGGCTTTTTGCATTTGGGTTGGTTGCGAATTGCTGGAAGCCCTTGGGGAGTTAAAGAATGAACATATTCACTCAACCTTCCTTGCTGGGGGAAAGCAGAACCTGCCAGCGTTTCTAACAGTTACTATAGCAAAGCTTTAAAACGTTTCAGCTCTGCCGTTCTCACCGCGACTGAAAGAGCAGTACCCACTCGGAGGTCACTTAATTACTATAGCTTCATTCAGCACATTATCAGTACCCTAATATTCTGCTGGCCTCTCCAGACAGGAAATTTGAAAGGGGTCCCTTGGCTGTTAGACAGCAGGTTATTGTTGAAAAATCATTTAAACTGTCACAGTACTTGGAGTCTCGTTGCTATCCACCCCTTTCCAGCAGCTCATATCCTTGTTGTTGTCTTTCCCCTTTCCTGTATCTCATTCAGCCTTGCTTCCTTTCTCTTCCCCGCACAACTAGTTTGGGATTTAACTGCTTCGGGACATGTGTTTTCCACTAAGAAAGCAAAGCTGAACAGCTTCTTTCAAAAAGCAGGGTTTTTCTCATGCAGAATGGCTCACGCAGCAGGAAGCAAAGGGATGTAGAAAATACATACCTCACTGGAAAGTTTACTTTGTTCCACCACAAAATCTTACTGGCTGACTTCCACCCCCAGTGTAATTTCCTCACAGCTCTAAGCCTGTGATACCAGAGCTACCGTCGGGCTCGCTGGTGGCTTTGCCGCGAGGAGAGAGGAGGCACTCAGCTGCTGACAAATCCTCCCGTCACCACCCACCGCATCCCCCAGTGCTGTGCTACTGCCGCCTGGCAGAAGGCCCTCTCCGGGCCTGCCCTGGGATGTCCTGTTCAAGCTTGTAGTTCGAGGGACGCTGATGTCCCCAAGGGAAGCGAAGGCAGTCAGTCAACAGGAAAGTTTTCTGGTATACAGAATGAGATGAACACCTTTTTCAATGCTATTTGCTCCATGCCCACTAAGAAGTACAATACATTTTTAAATCATAGCAGGTGACTGAAGTGTCACGAACCCTTTTTTCCCCTCTGATTTAGCTCTCCTGAGACTCTAGTGGTGTCATGACATTGTCATGGCACAAATTGGAGGGTATGAGAAGAAATAGGTCATTGGGTGTGACTTCATGAGTCTTGGCACTGAATATTACTCATGAAGAAATTTTAACCCAGACATTTTGCATAAGAGTTTAGATGTATCACAGCGGACACACTAGGATGCACACTATGATTCTACACGGTGTCCACTAATAATTTCCAGCGGAAGAATGGTGTTTGAGTCAGTGCCACACGACTGTCGCCCTGCATAGCAAGGGTGGGAGCAGAGAGGTCGCAGAGCGCACGGGGCTATACAGAGGCACGAGGAGAAGGGAGGGTGTCCACGCTGCTCTGCAAAGCCTTTGAGAGACCGCGTGCATACCGTGTGTGACACTCGTCCAGATAGATCAAGAAAAATCACTGAAACTCAGGTAGGAGTGACTAGGATGATCAGAAGAATGAGCCTGGTTGAAAGGAGGAGAAGGAAAGACCTTGGCTGGTTCAGGCTGCCCGATGGCAAGTGCGCCCAGCTGCTGCTCCTTGTAGACATAGGGCATGAGGCAGGGGGAGAGTTTCTCTTTGAGACTAAAAGACAGTGTTGACCCCGAGGATTGACTGGTATCAGCTGGCTTTTAAAAAGTAAAATTAGATTGGAAATAAGCAGATTTTGGATCACAACAACAGTGAGGGGCTGAGGCAGGCGGTAAGTGGCAGGAGGAGGTTAGGGCCCCATTTGCAAAAGGATCGTCGTGTGTCTGCCTGCACAGCCAGGGGACTTGGACTTGGTGGCACAGTCCTACGTTCGTATGGTAAAACTCAAAGATTCGTCTTTTAAGTATGTCTTATGTGAGATACTACATTTAAAAATTTCCTCCAGTCCAACCATAAATGAATCCTACTTAAGTGAATCCCCTTAAGGTAAATGAAGTGTAATTACTGGGATTTTACATTTTAAAATATATCTCAGTGAAAGATCAAAAAGCTGTAGTCAGTTCGGGTTAAATTATCTGCTGTTGTAGCTCCACTGAAGTCAATGGATTTGCAGAAGAAAATAATCTAGTTCTTAAGGCGTTTTTCAGTCCTCTGAAATTGTCCTGCTCCACCTGAGAACTATATTTTGCCGTTTGCCTGGCTTAGTTGCAGAGCACCAAGGCTTTGACTTTTTGAGACCGGAAGAGAACTCTTGGCTTAGAGAAAACCGGTACCTGCAGTTACTAATGCCTAATTGTACAGATATTTTCCACATGCAAATTAATTTCTGATAACTCCATGGAATCTAATTTGCTCGGTGACTAGTTTATTTGAATAACTATATGCAAGGTTGTCAGTTAAATTGTTTCCTCACAACTCTTAGTCATTTGAGGTACAGAAATCTGCCTAATGCACTTGGTTATTTCTCAGTTATTGCTTGGTTAAGGTACACATCTCTCTACTTGTGGTGCTGCTCTACTTCAAACGCTGTGCACTTTGGTAGATTCCTGTGGTTAGGTATGTGAAGTGCCCCCAATAAAAAAGAGTGCCTGAGCACCTTACAAAAGGGACAAAAACGCTCTTGTTTGTAAGAGCTGATAAGAGGAAGAATCATCTTATTTGTATTTCAGTAAAATAAATTAGCAGGGTCTTTTCTAGTCTGTGATCTGCAGAGCCCTGGGAACTCGTGAACTATTTCTAAAAGAATCGTCTGTGAAAATTGACTTAATTTGTCATGCGGGGGGTTATACTGCCAGTGGAAAAATTTCAAACAGAAGTTCAAAATCAGTGTCCTAGGCTCATACACTTTTCCGGCTTAGAGATTTACGGTAAGTACTTCGTTCCAATGTGTTTACGAAAAAGGATCACTTTGTTAGTATGTTACCAGAAGAACAAAGATTGCAAATCATTTTTAAATATAGTCCTGATAGTTCAATACTTTTCCAAAGATAACAATCACTTCTAAGTTAACAAAAATATTTGTAAGTCAACGATACAAGCATTACATTTTAAATTCTGGTGTGGTTTGAAAACTGTGAAAATGCGCAGTTGTGGAGAATGGGCATTGTTGTTATCATTGCTCAAAGATTTGATACTGGAGCTGGTATAAAAAATATATCATTTCAGTGGGGAGACATTGTGCACATACAGAATTGAGACTAGTTGAACTTACTGCATTTTAAACCAGTGTAAAACTTTCTGTTAGACATTTCGTGTCAGTTCGAGTGTGGCATAATGTGTATTCGTTCAAACCCTCTCCTACTCAATTAAACTGACTCAACATGCAGCTAACTTTGTCTTGATTGAAGAGTTTCCATAAAGTCTTTTGTGCCAGCCTAAGTAATTTGATTTCATACTACACCTTTTGTTAAAACGATGTGTTTTAGTGTGTAGATAAGCTCTTGGAAAAACAGCCATATAATAACAAGTGCTCAGATGTGGCAGTGACATGCAGTGCATCAGAACACAGAACAGAGTTAGCGGAATAAAGCATTTCGACTGCAGCTAAATAAATCTAGTAAAAAAGTGTACCCCCTTAGCTGCTAACTTAAGCTTTTCTTTTAATTTGCAGTTTCTGCTAAGAAAGTAGAACCTCATGTGCTTTTCACCCAGGGTATTTTTCAGCAGTTTTTCAGTCTTCATCAAGCAGCTGTTGTTAAACGCAACCCAAATTAATATTTTCCAAGAACCAAGTTTTAAGCTGTAAACTAACTCCTTCAATCCATACCCCTAACTGTTGTTTTGTTTTATTTAATCACAAAAACTGGTCTTCCTTCCTGTAACAAGGCACTTAATTAAGCTTTTAATTCATGATAAGAAGTTAAATGGCACTTAGGAGGTTTTTTTAATGGTTTCCACTTCCCATCCAGATTACAAAAAAAAGGTGTGATAGAGAGACATATACGGCTGTCAGCCAAGGGTATTGTAGGTCATGCCAATATTAGCTGGCAGCAAGCCATTATCCAATTAACATTGCTTCATCGCTGCAAGTAATAGCTCTTGAGTAGATGATTGAGTCATTCATGCTGTAGTGGTACTCTACTTGAGAAAGAGCCAGTGCTTCTCAGAGTAGGCTTTTTGTTCACTATTGTTACCTGCCCCTCTTTGCTAATAGAAGCGCAGAGAGAACAAGTCTGTACTGGCAAGCTGAAAGGTGGACACTGGACAGGAAAGCACCATCTATGCAAACGTCTTATTCACCTTGTTTTCTGAAAACTGAGGTTTCGATGAAATGGCGAAAACATTAAAACAGCAACAACAAATAAAAACTGCTTGGTTACATGAGATTCCTGCAGCTAACAAATGAGATTCCCAAGCTTAAAGAAAGAAGCGGGCGAGAAGGTGGCTGAAATAATATTCAAAGCTAGAATCCAGAAGTCAACTTTTTCTCCCGACATTCATGTTTGGAATAAGCTTTAGCGGAGCAGAAAACTTGCTTCCTGATCGTAACAGATCTGGATTCCAGGGAGTCTCTTGGTGCACCACTGAACTGAGGCAGCCCTCTCGACCTTGCTGTTGGGATTTCATGACTTCAGGGTATGCGTTTAAAAAAACCTTCCCAAGATTGCTCTTGTCATCAGGGTACCACGTGCCTTCCTCTCTGGTGAGGTTAAGCATAGGTCTTCTGAAATAGTAGGCCTAGCTTTCTGTAGCAGTGGTCTAATGCTATCATTTCCATCGTAAAAACAAATTGTTCCTCAACTACGTTGGTTAGTTTTACCTGTAAAGCCTTTAGTCCCTTGAATCTCGCTAGAGGGATGGTCTCTGGTCACTGGTGACTTTCTTCTGTGCGGTGGACTATATGCGAGAAATGTTCCATTCCTAGCACAAAAGGGTTAAATCGAGTTGTCTGTGGTTTAAATCTTTCAAGAGGCGAAGGGAAGCATCATCTCGTTTAGGAAGAAGGGTTGGGATGCTTTTGGTAGGGGGC